AGGGGGGGGGGAGAACTGTATGAAAACAATTGGAAATCAACTCAACCGGCGTGTGGTTCCGTGTCCCCGTCCCCGTGGATGGGTTATGTACAGTCTTCGGCTCCGGTGGAGAAGGCTTCGCTCAGGGGATGGGGGACGGGGGCGGCGCGGGGAGGCAGGCTGGCTGCTTAAGCTAACAGGACGTGAATGTTTTCCAGAAGAAATTCTTGCAGCCGGCTTTGCGTTCTCGGGGCGCCAAGGCGGGGTTGGGGTTCGCCGATCGCTCCAGCTCCAATCGGACCTCATCCTGCTCTGGCCCTCGGGACAGGTCCTCCGGCTCTAGGGCTTCATTTTCCGGCTGGCTGGGCTCTGCGAGCAATTCTGCCAAAAAGTACTTGGCCAGTTCCTGGGCGGGAGAGAGGGAGACAGAGAGACCGTGAAACGCTCCAGCCAGCTCCGGGACCTGCCCGGCAGCTTTTCTCCCACCACCAGAGTCTAGCTCCCCCAGGCCAGCCCCAGGCCCCCAGCAAAGCAAAGCTCGGGGGCTGGAGAGAGCCAACCCAGCGCTGGCTAGCAGGGAGGAGAGGCAGCCTGTGACGCGTTAGTTTGGAGATGGAAAAGAACCCCCCAACTCTTTTTTCCCCTCCCTGGATTCCCCAGGCACTGAGACTTGCCGGGCTCCCTTCAGTGCGTAACCTCGCAATTTTCGCTGATAAGGGCGCTCAAGTCTCTCTGGAGATGCGTAGCCAGAGGCGCTGGAGGCAGGTGCGCACAGAGGCGCACGGCCCCTGTGGGTGAACTGGACCGAAGGGTCGTTCTTCCTCGAGCTAACGCCCCGCTCCAGCGCCAGGTACCTCGCAGCCGCCCCCTTGCACCTCATCGCAAAAGCCTGGTCAGTGGGGCCGGTTTCAGCACCCTGGAGAAGATCCCACTGGCACCTGGCCGCGCTCCTTGGCCCCGGGCTGCTCGCCAGCACCCTGGAGAGCTCTCCCCTAGTCCGGCCGGGAGCTCAGAGCTGTCTTTGCGGGGTCCCTCCGCCCCAGTGCCCTGCGCTCATGGGACAGC